GGGACCAGTGGTGACTGTGTGAGTGACAGACTCAAGGACAGCTCTGGGTGTACAGGGAGCAACGGGCTCGGGAGAGGGGCTTGGGCTCAGTGTCCTGAAGGCAAGGGGACTGTGTGCGGGTGCCTATGAGTGTGGGTGGCTGGAGCCCTTACATACTGGCTTTGGAGATGGTGGTCAGGCAGGAGGGGCATCTTGGGGGGCATGGAAAGAGCAGGAGCTGAAGTTCAAGGGCAGGGAGCAAGGCTGCAGGGAATCTACCTGACGACTTCAGAGCCTCACCTCTCCACAAGGTGGCAGAACAGCTCATCAACCCATTTGGAGAGGATGATGATGACTTTGAGACCAACTGGATTGTCGACAGGAGCTTGCAGGTATTTGGGAGCCTGTCCTGTGGACCTTCCCTGAACTGGACCCAAGGAGGGGACCCCACAGTTCTGTAGGGAGACCTTACAGTGAGTTGCCACCCCCACCTCCCAGCCAACCATTCACTCACGGGATTCTCACCCCAACTTCTGAGGTTGCAGATAGGCATCAGTCTCTCCGTTTCACAAGTACGGAAACCGAGACCCAGAGAGAGGGAAGTGACCTTTCCAGGTCATCTAGCAAGATCACGGTCCCGCTTGGGCTGTCCTGTCTCTTGGACTTCTCCTTCTGTACCTGGCAACCAGGTGTCCCTGCTGGCTGTGGACGAGATGCACCAGGACCTGCCCCCGATGGAGCGGGATATGTACTGGAATGAGCCAGAACCACAACCCCCCTACACAGCTGCTTCCGCCCAGTCTCGTCGAGCCTCCTTTTTAGGCTCCACCTTCAACATCAGGTGAGCAGTGCCAGGGAACCACTTTGGTGCATAGAAAAGCCTACGCACAAGAACTTGGAAGGAAAAGCACTAGTCAATAAATATTTATTTATTTATTTATTTTTAAAGATTTTATTTATTTATTCATGAGAGACAGAGGGAGAGAGAGAGAGAAGCAGAGGGAGAAGCAGGCTCCCAAGGAGCAGGGAGCCCGATGTGGGACTCGATCCCAGGACCCTGGGATCATGACCTGAGCCGAAGGCAGACGCTTAACCATCTGAGCCACCCAGGCGCCCTAGTTAATAAATATTGACGCATGCTAGGTGCTGGGAACTCCGCTAAGCTCTTTATATAAACTCTCTTTTTCTTCCCAATAACCCTGGTTTGATATCTCCAGTTTTCAGATGATTAAGTCCAAGTTCAGAGAGGTTAAATAGGTTGCCCAGCCCAGGATCACATAGTTAACAAGCAGTGTATGCGGACCAGGTACGTCTGCTTCTACCTCCACACCCTTAATCCTTACCTTGTACTGCTTAGTAACTCCTAAAGCTATAAGGGCTTTTAGGTACCTCCAGCCGAAGCCCCCCATGTCCAGAGTTGGAAACTGAGGCCCAGAGAAAGAAGAGACTTACTCAAGGGCTGACAGTGATCAGTGATGCAGTTGGAATGTTAAAGCCTGGTCCAGAACTACGTTTTCTGATAGACCAGGGTGTTTAGATGGAGAGTGAAAGTGGGCGGGGGGGGGTCCCCTGGGATGAGGGTGGGGCAAGCATGTGCCAGCAAGAGGATGATTCATCACAGGTACCTTCTGGGTAGATTCTGGGCTAGAGTATAGGCCTCAGGTCACCCACAGAGGCCAAACTTTCCTGCCCATGGGCCCCGTTTCCCTGATTTGGTCTGATTCCCTTGTGAGTTGGAGCTGGGCCACCGTGGCCCGAAGGGCCATCCCAGAGAGCCCTTGCTCCCCTGTAGGGCAGTGGAGGGGACTTTGGAGAGTCCTCTGTGTGTCAGGGTCCATACCATCCAGGTTTTCTTCCACAGATTTAAGCAGTTTTCTTTTAAAAATGAAATACCCTACTAAGCCATAATTTGAATTAGCTAGAGTCCCTAATGGGTGTGAGGAAGGTTTGAAAAAGTGATCAAATGAAGGATGGAGGCTTGCTTAGGTCAGAAACATTTCTGGAAGTTGCTTTTATTTTTATTTTATTTTTAAAAGATTTTTATTTATTTGAGAGAGAGAGAGTGAACAAAGAGGGAGAGCACAAGGGCTGGGGAAGGGAGGCAGAGGGCGAAGCAGACTCTCTGCCGAGCAGGGACCCTGATGTGCGGGGCTCCATCCCAGGACCCCGGGATCATGACCTGAGCCGAAGGCAGATGCTTAACCGACTGAGCCACCCAGGCGCCCCTGGAAGTTGCTTTTGAATTCCCTATGGTCTGTGCTCTAGCCGCTGAGGGTTGGGTGGGAACAGAGGACACTAATACATAGACCTTGTCTCCAAGGAACAATTTAGTGAGGGGGCTCAAACCCAAGGTCCAAACTCTGATAGACGGTACAAGGTACTAGATGCCTGGGAAAGAGCCACAGCATAGAACAGAGACCACCTCTGGCCTGGGAGGTGGCCTCTAGCTGGACCCGGAGCTGGGCCTCGAAGCATGGGGAGAATGTGGACACAGGCAAGGACAGGCCACATTCTGGGCTAATGGGCTTTCTCCTGCCGAGTAAAGGCTTTGGGCTCCCAGGAAGCCACACTTCTTTGTGGATGCTGCTCCCCAGCTGGAACCGCAAACCCCTGGCCCACCCAGAGTCACTCCTGGGCCTCATCTGACCCACCACACCCGGGACCAGTAGTTCAGGCCGCTTGGAGGGAGAGACGTGAAAGAGAAGATGCGCCCGGCTAGGGAGTTTAGTGAACTTGGGCGAGAGGGGGCCACAGAACAGTGAGGTGAGCCGGGCTGGGAAGGAGTAAGAAGGCAGTGCAGTACAGGATGGGTCGGGAGAGAGGGGAGTCCAGGCACTGTGAGGAACAGTGTGTCCTTGGCTTTGGGCCAAGAGGAGGGAAAAGGGGGTAAAAGAGAAGTCAAGTCCGGCTTTGGTCCTTTGTCCCCTACTTAACCCCGAGTCTCATGCCTCTTTCCAGTCTGCATAAGGAAGACATGGAGGAGGAAGGCCCTCACACTGGCATCATTGGCCGCTTCCTAGGGCTGCAGTCCCATGACCACCATCCCCCCAAGGCAAACTCAAAGACCAAACTACTGTGGTCCAAGAAAGAAGGCCTCCTCCATGAGGGCCAGCCCATGAAATTCGGGGGTGCCAGGCAGCACTCTAGGGACCAAGAAGACAGCAAGGCCTGGAAGATTAAGGAGGATGCTTTCGAGACTGCTGCACTGTACGGGAGGTCAGGCTACCACAGTGCCCCACAGACACCCCTCAGCCACACACCTATGATCTTCCCACCTGGACAGTCTGCACCCTCAAGCCTTCGCAGAGTCTTGGGCATAGACAGCGCTGTCAAAGACCAAAGCCTACAGCCCGTGACTCCAGGGACAAAGACCAGTTTTGAATTGCTCTCAGATAGTATCGGGTCCTCAGCAGAGGACCCAGAATCGGGTCACACGAAGAGGAAAACTGTCGAGTTTAACCTGACGGGCATGTTGGAGACCCCTGAACATCATCTTGGAGAATCACATTTGGACCAGTCAACTAACCTACACACTGTACTCAGAGGTCACGAGGATCCCTATTGGGCCTTGGAAAACAGGTCTGTCTTCCACCTTAACCAGGGTCACTTCACCTTCCCCCCTCCCATATGGGTGGGAAATACCACCACCTTCCCTTGCTGTGATTCTGCCCTTCTTCCACCTTCCTGGGAGCCCATTTTCCTATGGTCCCGTCACTGCCAGAGCATGCTGGACTTACACCCAGCATTGGCTTGGGGCACACACCTGGCCACCTCAGCAAGGGCCCAAGTTTGAGGGCTTTAGCTCATTTCACTGGAGCCTGACATCATCACTAGGAAAGAGCTCCCTGGGTCCCACGTGAAGGTGATTGCTCTGACGGGGACCATGCCTGGTGGCCACTAGGCCACACTTTTAAGTAGTCACATGTTATTCCTGGACCCAGCTCAGAGGAGCAGATGCAAAACCATGAGGAAGAACTGGGCGCTCTGGGCTGTACCCCAAGAACTCCACTCACTGCCCAGGCAAAGCTGAGAGAGAGCATATGAACACTCCCCCGTAACTTCTCAGTACTTCTGGAAAGCGTTAGACCCCTGGGAACTGGCAGATGGTTAAGGTGAGGGCATCCAGGGTCCCTTGGGGTATCTCACTGCTTTGGGGTACTCAAAGACTTCTGAACATAAATTTTCTTCGTGCTTCCTTGGGGTCAATCCACAGGGGTCACAAAACCATTTCCCTACATTCTGGATTTCACCCAGTTAGATCCACCGTACCTCCCCCGCCCCACCCCCCATCATGTAAGAACTGGAACTAGAACTTCCTGTTTTCTATTCTCAAGCAGTCCCTTCTGTGGTCAAAAGTTCTTAGATACAGAAACTTATACAAATCTGCAGTTTGTCCGGGAAAGGACGTTAATATGTAGTTGTTAGCAAGTAGAGATGGCTCTTCAGTCTCCTGACACTACTCACTGATTTTAGGGGCCCTAACTCCCGACTATTGAAATGATTATCTTCCATACTCACATTGAAAACTTTCTCCAATTCTCTCTAGGGATGAAGCACATTCCTAGCCTGTTTCCCAAGGCGGGGAACACTTCACCGGCCTGGTCCTACCTGCATGTACACCAGCAGGACACTGATCCAGTCTGTCATGCAGCTGTCCACACTGAAGAATGTGTTTGTAGGACAGCTTTAAATGGTTAGCTTAATGGATAAGAAGATCCATATAGTTTCAGGACTACTTAAGCCTCTAAATGCCTTTTGTACATTAAAAAATTATGAGAAGCTGGAGTGGACTACTGGAAACATGTAATTCAAAACATCCAATTGAGAATTCAGAATCAGGAGTCCGTAAGTCCCAACACACCCAGCCTTGATACGTTTTCCAAACTAAGGACTTTTTACAAACCCTCCCAGATATTTCATTTTTTTTTTTTTTACTGTGGCTCAACTATAGCACTTGAACAGATTGCAAAGACAACCTAAATGCATTTCTAGCCCATCCCACAAACTCAGAAGACAACAGCTGGGTACCAAATTACTTTATTTGAAGAATGGTACAAATGAAAGAAGTTAAGTAGATGTTTTGGTACAACTTATAGAAAAGGTAAAGGTAACCCCAACATGCATGCACTGCCTCGGTGACCAGGGAAGTCACCCTTGTGGCTATGGGAAGACAGCCTAAGGCTTAGCTTTCACTATCACTGTTTCCCAAGGTGTGCTTGTCAAAGAGATACTCTGCCATGCCAGATTCGGGAGCCCCCATCTTGCGCAGGTTGGTTACGTGGTCACCCAATTCTTTGATGGATTTCACCTGCTCATTCAGATAATGAGTCTCAATGAAGTCACACAACTGGAAAACAGAATGGGGAAGAACGTTAATGGTTGGTTAAGTTTTCCCAGCCCCTAAGAGGCAAATGACTTCCTCCATTCACTCCCACATTGCCAATACTTACATGGGGGTCACTTTTATCAGTGGCCAGTTTGTGCAGTTCCAGTAGTGACTGATTCACGCTCTTTTCCAAATGTAATGCACACTCCATTGCATTCAGCCCGTTCTCCCAATCATCACGGTCTGGTTTCTGAATGAGAAGAGGTCACATCAATGCATCTGCAGCCTCTACCAATTAATCCACAAGTTAGCAAGCACCTAACATGTAACCACTGCGCTTTGGCCAAGGGACATCCAAGTTTCTCCAAAGGTTTCAAATTTAACATCCTTGCCCATTACTGTCCGCCTCTTTTAGCTGAGATGGTAGGCCCCAAAAAAAGCACAGAAGCCAAAAGTACCCTCATTTTATAAGGGCAACTGCTAGGTTGAGTGGTTTCTGACACCTGAAGACTGCTAGATCATGAAGCAGGGGATTTCTAGGATCTTTTGTTCACCTTGATATCCTGAAGGAAGATTCGGCCACCTCGTTGGTTCTGCAGCTTCATCAGTTTCTCAGCATGTTCCCTCTCCTCATGAGATTGGTGAAGAAAATATTTGGCAAAGTTCTTCAAAGCCACATCATCGCGGTCAAAGTAGTAAGACTGAAAGAAGAACACGAACATGTTCTGTTAAAAGGCACTCTGCCACCTAGCCTTTCTAAAGGGGTCTGCGCTGAAGGAGACCAGACGGGGCAGACTGTGTTCCTGGACTGAACACTAGTCAGTCTGTACTCTAAAACGCAAAAGCAAAACTTGGTCCTTGAAACAACTGGAAGTTTACTACAAGGAACCTTTAGGATTATCATGGGGAACTGCCCCCAGCATGGAATTTCTTAAGGCTCTGTATTAGTGCAAAGTTCTTCCAGCCAGTTGTCAAATTTGATTGGAGAGGATGTGGGAGTATTTACCCTTTACAAATAATGCCTTCTCTCCCTACTGACTAACCCATGTTAAAATATGAGCTTGCCAGTTTACAGCTTTAATTTCTAAAATTAACCCGTTAGGCAAGGGGACAAATGTCGGCAACGCTAATGTTATGAAAAAATTTCCAGAAGGCAAAAAACCCGATTCAGTTTTAGGCACTTGCTGTATGTATTCAGGTGTTCCTGAAATGGAAGGGCAGTCGGGGAAATCCAGGCCTGTTTTCAAATCCATCTGGAACTTGTCTATTCTTGGATAATTTGCACAATCATAAGACAATTCTAAGAAACTCCCACCACACCGCCTAAAAATAGCATTTTGGAAAAGGGATTCCATCGATCAGTGCATGGAAAAATTCTTTGCCCAGTAACCGCTGGTGTAGTTTATCCAAAAACCAAGGGTGCAATTAGCGGGCCACAACTCTCAGGCACAAAAAGTATAAAGAATTAAGTGCCGGAGGCAAAAAGACGGATGACTAAGACAACTGTGTCCCGCAGAAGGGGAGATTTCCATGTGGAACTCAAGAGATAAGCAAACAGAGGGGTGGCGACGGCTGCTCGGAGAGTGGTCGGCCCGTGGGAGATAAGCCACTTAGCACCAGCTCCCCCCACCACCCCAGTTGCTATTCGATACCATTTCCCAGCAGGCTCCGCCATACCCGGGGGGGAGGAGGGAGGGGGGAGGGGGGACGGGGCCTGGACCACTTCGCCCCCATTACCCCAGCAAACGGAGGGCCCCAGGATCACGTGATTGACGCAGAGGAAGGGATGGAAACGCAAAAACCCACTTTCCTAATGGCAGGACTGTACAGGTTGCAACCGCTCGAAATCGGGGATTTTAAGAAACTAGGCTCTCTTTAAATATAGAGCGGTGCGCAGAGGCGGCCCTCGCCTAAAAGGGCACCCTCCCAGGGGACAGTGGGAACGGGCGAGTGGGCCAGAATTTCTGCGCAAGCCCTGGGAGACCTCGAGCAGCGTCCATTTTCCAGCAGGACGCGCGGAGGCGGGAGAGCCCGCGCGTTAGCCACACCCCCGCCCCGCCCCGCCGCCCCGGGAGGCCGCCCCCGCCCGCGGGCCGGCGCTCACCATGGACAGGTAGACGTAGGAGGCGTAGAGCTCCAGGTTGATCTGGCGGTTGATGGCGGCCTCAGAGTCCTGGTGGTAGTTCTGGCGCACCTGCGAGGGGGACGCGGTCGTCATGGCGGCGGCTGAGAAAAGGCGGCGGCGAGCGGCGGCGGGGGCCTGGGAGCGGTCCGAGGGCGCGACGAAGAGATGGCGGAGGGCTGGCTCTGAACGGCCGGCCCGGGTGGGGGACGAGCGCCGGGTTCCGTCCAAGCACTGTTGAAGCAGGAAACCGCGGCGACTCTCGGCGGAGACTGTGGCGCAGACGGCTGCGGCCCCCTACTTATAGCGGGATCGGGCGTCAGGCTCCCTCCGGCCAATCAAGCCGCCTGCCCTCCGTGCCGAGCCCCGCCTCTTCCGGTGGGCGCGCGGCCCCCGCCTCCGGGGCGGTGGGGGAGGGGCGGCGCCGCCCGGGAGGCCGCGCGTGTCCGGCCGCGCGTGTCCCGCCGCGCGTGGGGTCCAGTGGGCGTCCTTGCGCGCCCTGGCGGTGGGGCCGTAGGGAAGACGTGGGGACGGGCGCGAAGCCCAGCGCCGAGCCCTGGGCCCAGGGCGTCCTGGGTCGCGGAACCGACGGAAAGCGCCCCTGGCCCCGGGGGGCGTCGGGGCGAGTCTGAGCCCCCGGGCGGGCTCCGTGAGACTCTTGGCCAAGGGCATGTTAACAATCCGAGCGGTAGGCCAACAGTTCGCACCCCCGAGGTGATTTCCTCGTCTCGCAAATTGTTAAGTGGAAACCTGGGCCCTGGGAGGTCGTGTGAGTCAGAGGTGGAGCTGGGAAAGGGTTCACTTTCTCCTCCTCATGGTCTATCTAGGAGCAAAACGCGGGCGCAGTGACCGCCCCCCCCACCCCTCGTCCCCGTTGTCCCCCGCCCCTCCGACTCTGGCGACCCCGTCCGCCTTTGGCTGAAAGCAAATATGGCTCCTTGTGCAGATTATACAACAAAGGCTGGGCGGGCCGTGTTTCCCGAGAGACACGGAGAGCGCCTTCCCGGAGGGAGTCTTGGGGGTGAGCCACCTGGGCTTCAGAGAAAATCGGGAGAACGGGGGTTAGAAAAGAAAGGAGAAGCCACTTGGATCTGGAGACAAAGCCATGAGGCCATTTTGAAATGGCCTCTTTTACCGGCCCCAGTAACGGGAGACTCAAGCTTGAGGAGCCACCTCCTGGGGTTACCCTTGGAGAGAAGTTGATGGGGCTGAATGTGCCACAGACGTCACAGGTGCAGGAAACCCTGGAAGGGCAGGGCCACTGAGTGTGGCTTGCAGCTGCGTCCCAAGCACGGAGTGGGTGTGAATTCGAGGGTGGCGGAATTGGAGCTAGGTTTGGACTCCTTTCTTCCAGTCCGCCAGTCGGCTGGCTTCGAGGTTCACTCTGCTTAACCATGTCCTTCGACCTATCCAAGACCCTTTTCGGGATGCTCACAAACATGAAACTGGAAGCTGAACTTCCCAACCTTACGAAAGGAAGGAACACTACTAAAATATTAAAATACGTTGCTGATGGAATTATGGTGACTTCTCTTTCTTGGGTCTTTACTATATTCCTTTCAAAATGAACATGTTACTTTCAGGAAAAAAAATTTTAGTGGGGCTAGAGCTACAAAGAAATAAGAAGGCTGCGGGGAGAGTGTAGACAAGGGGTGCCTTACTCAGTCTGAGATAGAAGGTCAGGGAAGGCTTCCCTAGGAATGTGACAGTTGAACTAAGTTTGAAGAAAAAGCTGGAAGGAAGGTATAGAGTGGAGGTGGGAGATAGGGAAGGGAATTCCAAGCAGAGAGAACAGCATGGGCAAAGGTGTAAGTGTGTGGAAATGCATGGCCTGTCCAAGGTACCTTAAGAAAACGTGTTGGCCTGGAGAATGCCAGAAGGGTGGTACAAGGTACAGGATTGTGTGCCATAAAAAGGGGTTACATTTTATTCTGGGCAATCTGGAGACACTAAGGGATTTCTAACCAGGTATCTCCCTGGTTAGAAATCTTGTGCTATTAGGGTAAGACTACAGCAAAGTCATCAGATGCAGAGCTCTCCTATATAATGGGAAAAACACGGGTTAGAAAATGCAATGAAAAAAAAATATTTGGGGGTCGTTAAGTGCCTACCTTCGGCTCAGGTCATGGTCCTGGGGTCCCAGGATCGAGCCCCACGTTGGGCTCCCTGCTCCACGGGAGGCCTGCTTCTCCCTCTCCCACTCCCCCTGCTTGTGTTCCCTCTCTCGCTGTGTCTCTCTCTGTCAAATAAGTAAATAACATCTTTAAAAAGAAAAAAATATATTTTTAATTTACACTGACAACAAAAGCTTAAAGTACCTAGGAATAAAGTTAACAAAAAATATATGAATATGAGAATTATAAATGTTTGCTGCTGGACAGAAGACTTGCATAAAGGAAGAAACGCCGTGTTTCTAGATAGCCAACCTCAGTTTTGTAAAGATGTCAGTTGTCCCCAAAGAAACCTGTACATTCAATGCAATTTCTGTAAAACTCCATGGTGTTTTTTGGAACTTGACAAAATGATCCTAAATTTTATTTGGAAGAATGTGTGTAGAATAGCTGATGAGCAGCTGGGGGAGAAAAGGTTATGAGGGTAGATTTACCTTCCCTGATATTAAAAAAAAGTACCATAAAGTACTCTAGGCAGTTGGTACAGGCACAGGAAGTGTTAACAGTCTTACCCACAAACTTATGGGAACTTGGTGAATCCTAAAGTGACATTTTGAATTTGGGGAGAAAGAGTGGGTCCAACAAATGATGTTGAAACAATATATAGTCATATGGACAAAAATGACTCACTGAATTTCAAAACATGTTCCAGACAGATTAAAGATCCAAGCCTTTAGGGGCGCCTGGGTGGCTCAGTCAGTTAAGCGTCTGCCTTTGGCTCAGGTCATGATCCCAGGGTCCTGGGATCAAGCCCAGCTTCGGGCTCCCTGCTGTACGGGAAGCCTGCTTCTCCCTCTCCCAGTCCCCCTGCTTGTGTTCCTGCTCTCACTCTCTCTCTCTCTCAAATAAATAAATAAATAATCTTAGGGGAAAAAAAAAAGATCCAAGCCTTTAAAAAACAAAACACGTATGACGTTCCTAGAAGAATATATAGATTATCTTTTAGAATTCCGGGATAGGGAATGTTCTTTTGAGGTTTTCAAAAGCCATAAATGGGTGGTTGGCAGATTTGACTACTTAAAAAAAAATGAAAAGTTGGACGGCCAAGAGGTTCAGCAACATGGAGGGCAGACGAGAGACTCTGGGCCATGCAGGAGCCTGAGTGGTGCCCGGCCACCATGGGACGATAGCAGAGGACAACCGACTATAGCATTGTACCAAAGAAAAAAGCCAGAGTCTTCAGAAGAGAAAGAATTTGCCAAATAAGGGCAAATCGATGACACTCCAATTTCTTTTTTTTTTTTTTAAGATTTTATTTATTTATTTGAGAGAGAGAATGAGAGATAGAGAGCACAAAGAGGGGAGAGGGTCAGAGGGAGAAGCAGACTGCCCGCTGAGCGGGGAGCCCGATGCGGGACTTGATCCCGGGACTCCAGGATCATGACCTGAGCCAAAGGCAGTCGCTCAACCAACTGAGCCACCCAGGCACCCCGAAACTCCAATTTCTGAAAGAGCTCCAAATCGTAACAAGTTTGCAAAACCGAATGTTACTAGACTACCTTGGTGATTAGCTGCACTTGATTACGGGAAAGAGATGAATTTAGAACAGAATTGGTCCATTGGCAAGAGGAAAATAGAGAATCCAAAATTTCTGGGACTTGTGGTATTGAAGTTAGAACTGTGTGTCTTTTTCAACTAGTAAAAAACTCGAGAAATATTTTGAGCAACAAAGGCTGATTATGGTGAATCCTCAAGACAATAACCAAATCAAGGACATGGCTGTCACACAGTTGGTGAAAATGAATTAAAATTGTTCCTAGTAAGTCCTTTCAGTTGGACAAAGCACTCAGGGCAAAAGAACAGAGGGTATGGGGCGCCTGGGTGGCTCAGTTGGTTGAGCGACTGCCTTCGGCTCAGGTCATGATCCTGGAGTCCCGGGATCGAGTCCTGCATCGGGCTCCCTGCTCAGCAGGGAGTCTTCTTCTCCCTCTGACCCTCTTCCCTCTCATGCTCTCTATCTCTCATCCTCTCTCTCTCAAATAAATAAATAAAATCTTAAAAAAAAAAAGAACAGAGGGTATGGTCCTACAAAAATTTGATAAGCCAAAGATATATGTAGTTACATCTTTGAGGGAAGCATACCTAGAAGAAAAATTGTGGGTGTAAACTATAAGAATATGGAGCAGACTGGAATCAAGTAAGTAAAAAGCCAACAAAATTGTTCTTTTCTTTGCAAAATGAGTGATTTAATTTTTTTAAAATGAATTACAATAAAACACACAGAATCTTAGGTGAATTTTGACCCTTGAATACAGCGGAAACAAGATACAGAACATTTATTTCCATTATCCTAGAAAGTTCCTTTGTATCCCTTTCTAGGAGGTTTCCCCTGTACCCCTGCAAGACAACCACTCTGCTGATATTTTTTCGATATTGATTAATTTTGCATGTTCTAGAATTTCATATACATGGAATCCTACAACAAGCTGTAGGACAAAAAATACTGTAAAGCAAGTTAAAATACAAATGGCAAATTGAGTTGGTATTTGTAGCTCCGTAAGGAGTGAAGATGCATAACTACGCTATATTATATTTGTGTGGGTAATTATATATTATATACACATAGGTCACTCTTTGATTGTCTTTCCAGCTATCGGATACTGTAAGCTCCTGGAGGGCAGGGGTGTTTCTGTGTTCTTCATCCTGCACTTTCAGCATTTTGCAAGACGCTTGTTACTAGGTGCTCAGTATTTGCTGAGCCGACAGATGGCTGCAGGACTGAAGGTGGAGGATGGATCACAGTCAGGCAAGAGGCTGGGTACCGGCTGGGAGGCAGCAGCCCTGGTTCTCCGCAGAGGGGACCGCAAGCCGATGTGAGATATGGAGGAGACAGAACAGACATGGTGAAGTGGCCGATTGGGTGACATGAAGGGTGGAAGCGATGGGTGGGAGGTGGGCGAGAGAGCTCCCAGTCTTCAGGCCTGGGAGCTGGATGGCTACTGCCATTCACTGAAAACGGGACCACAGAACGAAATGCAGGCTGGAGGGAAGGCAAGCTTGCTTTTGGACTGGATGTCTTGAGTTTCAGGGCCTCCAGGACATCCAGGTGGAAAGAGCCCGCAGGGAGTTGGACCCACCTGAAGGAAGGTGGTCTGTTGCAGAAAGTCGGTTTCATGAGTCAGTATTGGCTCCGTGCTTGGGTACAACAGATGCGGTGGCAGTGACCCTCACGGCAAAACTGGGGGACAGTTTTGGCTGTAGTCCGCCATTGGGGGAGGCTGGCTGGGGAGAGTGAAAGAGAAATCTTGTGCTGGTGTGTGTGTGTGTGTGTGTGTGTGTGTGTGTTTTTGCTTGGGCCATTCCCCACCTTCTGGGACCCCTGTGTGTGTGTGTGTGTGTGTGTGTGTGTTTGCTTGGGCCATTCCCCACCTTCTGGGACCCCTGTGTGTGTGTGTGTGTGTG